GCTGGGTCCGCCTCAAAAAAAGGGTCAGGACGGACCCCATGATTTCGGCGTCACCCCAACATACTAATACTAGGTGTTCGTCGCCCCCAGAGGGGCGACGCGCGCGCCGATCAATCTCATAGTAAAAGTTCCGTGGCGGGCGCTTTCTGACCATATCGCTCGGGAAACGATATACGACAAAACGGGTATGCTACATGTCCGGGTCTGGCGCACGTTTCCAAGAGGACGCATCGTACTGGTACGTCCTTCTGCGTCCCATGATTTGTCCAAGGGCCGATTCTGAACACATCTGGGCCGTGCCTCTGAGCCGCTGTTGTCTCAATTGGCCCTCCCCCGACAGAGGTGCCGAACCCCCCCAAGGGGCAGGCTTTCGGTCCGGATCCGCTCTTGATTGCCCTGGGGCTCTCGATTGCCCATGCACGTGCAGACGCGCAAGCATCCACAGACACCAGCGCACTGACGATCGCGCGCTCACCGCACCCCTCCCCGCCTGTTCGGCGCCCATCCTCCCCCGCGCCCCCCTGCCGCCCCCGCGCAGCCCCGCCCTCGGGGGCCCGATATGCTGGGCCCCAGGGGCCGAAGTCGAGGAAACGCTCTCTGTGTCCGCGTGGAGGAGGGGGTTCGAACCCCGCCCTCCCCCCCTTGGATGCTGGCGGGGACTCGACCGACAAAAACCGTAGACAGGGTTTCGTCTGTCTGGTTTTTTTTGTTGTTGTTTCTGTTAGTTCTTGTTTTTTCCCGGTCGCCCCTCCTCCCCGCCTCCCCCTTCTCGCCGAGGGCAAACGACGACGGCGGGCGCGGGCACTGGCGCTGGCAAACAACGGTCTCTCGCGTGCCAACTCGATGAATCATGCCCCATATCTTCATGTCCTGCCCGCCCGACCCGACCCGCCCCTCAGGGTCCGCTCGCCCGCCCGCGTCGTCCTCGCCGTCGTCGTCGGTCGTCGTCCGTCGTCCGTCGTCCGTCGTCTGTTGTGTGTCGTCCGTCCTCCGTCCTCCGTCCTCCGTCCTCCGTCGTCGTCCGTCGTCGTCGTCGTCGTCATTCCTCGGCGGTCGTCGTTTGCCAGCGTTGGCCGTCGTCGTTTGCCGGCGGCGAGTGCGGGAGATGGGAGGAGTTCGAACCGCGGCCGCCTGAATCAGGGAGGGGGGGGAGGGGTTAGGGGAGGGGGGGGAGGGTGAGACAGGCATCCTCATGGTGTTTCTAGGCGCGCGGGATGCCTGGGAGGGGGGGGGATCCTCCTCGAACCGACGTATCGTGGGGTGTTCTCAGGGCGAGCGCCCGTGAAAGCCGCCCCTTTGAACCGAGGAGCGTCGGAGATCTGGGAGGTGGGGGAGGGGCAGGACAAGTAAGGGAGGGCGCGGCTCAGGGGGAGGCGGGTGTTACTACCACCGCCCACCAAGCCACCCCAACCCAACCCGAAGGCCCCGACTTGCCTTCCATTTCCAGTGGGGAGGGGGTCGGGGAATATGAACAAAAACACACATGAAGGCCGTACCCCCGCTCCCAACCCGAAATTCGGGTCTTCGGGTTGGGTTGGGGTGGTTTGGTAGGTAGTGATCCTAGAAGTGCCCCTGGCCCAAGGTGCCCCCAGGATTCCCAAGGAGGCCCCCAGGGCCTCCAGAGCACCCCTCACGATTCCCGGGCGGCCCCAGGGCCTCCAAAATGGAGCCGCAAGCTGGGGACACCTCTGGACAGGGACATTTCTAGCAACACCTGAGAGGGGGAGGACCTCGTCGTAATCGTCGTCGTCGTCGTCGTCGTCGTCGTCGTCGTCTTTCTCATCCTCCCTCCTCGTTGGCGTCCTCCCTAGCCATGTCCGCTGAAGCCACGTTTGCTCAATTGTGATGGGGGAACAGGTCCCACCTGAGCGGGCAGGCCTCTTGCGAGCTATCCGGCGTGTCGTGGGCTGGTTATTCTCCGTTCCGCCACGAGGGTCTCCACAGTTGATTCCGCGATGAGCCCTGGGACTCAGCCTCCAGCAGCACCAACGGCAAAAACGTCTCCAGGCTGCAGCCGTCGCCCTTCGGCCAGGATGCTCTCCCGACTCCGAACGACGGGGGCAAGGGCTCCGAGAGCCACAAAGGGCTCCGAAGGCTCCATAGGCTTCGACCCGCTCGCCAAGGGCCGACCCGTGGGCAGCAGGGAAGCGCAGGACCCGTGGGCACCCTGACGAGCCGCGCAAAAGTAATGCTGCCGTGCCCGGTTCCAAGGACGGCAAGGACGGAGACATGGGCCCCAGGATGTTCGAGGGCGGAACAGAGAGGGGTGATGACTAGGGGGGGTGGATATCATGGCGGGGGCCATGATATTTCCCCAGATCTCATGGCGCCTCTTCGTATTTCATTACGTCCCTGGCCCCCCTGCTGGGCCGCGCACATGCCGCCGGTCATGATTTGCACCCCCCCTCTTGGACACCCCCCTCTTGGCCGCTCCCGAGATGTGCAACCCGAGATCATCGACGTCTGCGGGCTTCTGGGACGCGCCGGCGTCGATGCACGGGAGTTTAAACAAAAGACACCCCGCCGTTGGAGAGGACACCAGAGGAACACGACATGGCCGAAGATGCCGTCCAATCCGAAGTGCTCCCGCTCGCATCGTCCCTGGTGCAAAGGAGGAGACTAGAGTTGAGGATTCTCCGACGCCACCGCTAACGAACTCGGACATTCTGAACTTCATGAAGCGGACGGAGGCAAACAGGAGACAGGAGGCTCCCACCACCAAGACCGAGCTGCAGGCCTCCATCTCTTAGCACGAGGAGGCAACCACCAAGCTGAGCCAACGAATGGACCAGCAAGCCCGTCAGATCCAGGAGGTTGTGGACAAAGCTGAGTCGTCGGCTATTGCCGAGCAGCTCGATGCCAGATTCGAGGCCAAGCTCGAGACGCTAAGCTGAAGTTGCTTTCGCCACCTCCCCCCGCTTCTGCGGTCCTTTGCCAATCCGCCGCCCTCCTTCGGTGGGTCTACTACCGCGCCCTCCTCGATGGGGCCATTCGTCCCGATTAGATAGTATTCAGTTCCTTGTAAAGTGTGGATCGGATGCTTCCCTTCAAAAATACTCACCTGTGTCATTCGCCAGCACGCTCAGTCCACCATTCTGGAGGCGCCACCTGGCATGGGAATCATGCGGAGGCCAAATGCTACAACCTGAACCGAAGCTACTAGATCAAGTTCGGCTTTGCCTTCCCCGCGAAGACGTTACTCGACAGAGTACATTCAGAAGGCCTTGGATGGATGGACAGACAGAAGCGTCGCCATCCGCCCAGAGCCCGAACGGATAACAGCCTCGCCTCTCGCGAGATAAATCCGCTACCACGGCATACGGTGGCAGCGCTTGTAGACAACATGATGAAAGAGGACTTGCTCGACCTTGGCTGCATGAAGATCGGACTCAACCCTCAGAAAGGAGCTTTTTTTGTTGCGTGGCTTGAGGCGAAGATGTTTGGATTGTCTTCGCGCTGCAAGAGGGCCGCAACGAGGCGCTGGGCGCAGCTCCCGAGATGGGCCCCCTCGAGACCTAGCTGATAACCGAGGAGATGGCCTCGACATGGACATGCGTCGCCATGGGAAGGGAAGAACTGCACCGCCGAGCCAGCAGTTTCACGCTGACCCGCCAGACTTCGACACCTCCGGCTCCTGCCAGCCGCGCCCCTCTCCCTGCGGCCCCCTCTCCGGCGAGCCCGCTGGAAATCTCAGTCCTGACGGGCAGGGACGCGCGGCTAGGTTCGCCGTCGCCATTTTCGTTCTGTTGGGCTGCTCTGGTGGGCCGTCCACGTCCCCCTCTGCAGCTTCCCCGGCTTGCGCGCGCGCGAGTGTGACTTCGAGAGCTACTCGCCCATGTCGGGGGGCTCGAGCTCCCTGCCAGCGGGTGGGGCCAACTGTGCCAGGGTGGAGTGGAGGAAATTCAGATAGCGACGGCAGTTGTTTCTCTTCGGCCCCGTCTTCTTCCTCCACGTCCTCCAGGTCCACTGGCGCTAGCGACTGCCGTTATAGGCCGTGCCAGATTCGAAGTTAATTCCCAGCAGTCTCAAGAGACAGAGGTTGGGTCTACCAGCACGCCAATCGAAACAACGCGGGCCAAACATAGAACTGGTACGAAATTTGCCCAGGAACGCAGGGTCGTCGGGTTTCAGGAGACACATGGTACATCGGAAAACATGGGACTGCTCCCGTGGCACTTTCCACGCTCGAGAAGGGGCGCGCTGCTGCGCACTTTCGGTTCATCCGGTGTTTTCCGGTCTCTTTCCTCATCTTTCTCATCGCGTTAATGTCTGCGCAAGGCAACGCTGTCTCCTGCCTTCCGGGCCCTCGGTGAACCTTCCGATCATCGACGCCCACCTTGACCCCGAGCTCCGACGGCGCGACCAGTCTGGCGTGCTTCAGCGTTTGCGTCGCGTTCTGCGCCCTCGTCCTTCGTCGCTCGTCGTTTGTTCTCGTCGTTGTCGTCGACGTCGTCGTCGTCGTCGTTCGTTCTCGTTGTCGTCGTCGTCGTCGTCGTCCTCTTTCTTCTGCTGCTCAATCTTCGTCGTTCCCATCCGCCTGCTGCTGCTGCTGCTGCTGCTGCTCGTCTTCCTTCTCCTCTTGCCCCTCCTCGCCTCCGCCCAGCGCAGAAACCAACGGTCCGCTCGCGGCTCACCCCGCCTCCGAGGCCATGACCCTCCCCAGCAGCCCGCCCCAGGACCAGTGCGAGCGCCCCCTCCTCCTCCTCCTCCTCCTCCTCCTCCTCCTCCTCCTCCTCCTCCTCCTCCTCCTCCTCCTCGTCCTTGTTCTCTACGTCACAGTCGTGGTGTACAGGTCGCGGAGGCCGTGGGAAGGAATGCGCGCGCTGCTCGTCGGGCGCCCCGCTGCATCTCGTCCGGTGGCTCCTGAGAGCTTCGCGCCCGAGGCAGGGCTCGCGGGGCCGAGTCGACGTCTCACGTCGAGGAATCTCCTGGTACCTCGCCCTCTTGGCCCAAATTGGCGTCGTGCCTGGGCCCCGGCCCTCCCCGAGAAGGCCTGGCGGATGCCGCACACCTACATCGTCGGCTACTGGGGCTGCGTCTTCCTCGACGGGAAGGCGGCGTGTCCCGGCCGCGGCTCTTGAGGGGCGAGGAGGGCAGGACGGCGTGGACAGGTGGCGGAGGAAAGCCGGAGGAGGAGGACGAAGAGGAGGAGGAGGAGGAGGAACACATGGTGGGAAGGACAACGAGGAGGAGGAGGAAGAGGAGGAGGAGGAGGAGGAGGAGCAGAAGGACCCGTGCAAGCACAAGACGCATCAACGATGTTGCAATGAATCCTCCCTCCATCTTCCCCTTTCATAGTTCCCTGCAACCGCTTATTTTCATTTCGGGAAGTGCCTCATTGGAAGACAGCCGTTTTGAGAAGCCTCACTTTTGCCAGAACGTCATTCCTGAGATTTCAGCGGCGCGAATCAATATGCCTGGTGTTTCCGGACAGTCCTGCTTCGTGCCAGAACATCGTTCCTTGGATTTCAATGCGGCGAATCAAGGCGATTGTAACGTCCTGACGATCTTTAATCTTAGCCGAGTGTGGTTCCTGGGGCTTTAACCGTGCGAATTCTTGAAGTTGTTCAAACTTCCAGGACGAATGTGCTCGGCGCGAGGGCGATCTCCACATTTTCCTCAATCGATGAAGCTGCTGCAACCTTTCAGGGCGAGTGTGCACGGCGCTCAATCGAAAGCCACATCTTGAAAGCCACTCGCCCTCCGTCCTTGAAGCTGCTGGGAACGCTCAAGACGACTGGCGCGGCGCGAGGGCGAGCTCCACGTTTTAAGCAGGGCCCGCCCTCCACGCGCGAAACTGCTGCAGGCTGTGAAAATCGAATGTGCGGGGCGCTACGGCGGGAGCCACACTCTGAAACCGGCCCGCCCTCCGTCCCGGACGCTGCTGCGAAGTGCAAGCTCGAGGAGCAGAAACGGAAAGGACATCCGAGGCGGAACGTTTGGCCCGCCCTACCAACACGTCTGGGAGTGCGGAAGGGAGGAGAGAACAGATGGAAGAGGGATTGGGAAGGAGAACGACGATGAGGAGGAGGAGGAGGAGGAGGAGGAGGAGGAGAGGAAAGTGGGACAGTAGGGCGGGAGTCGGATATGCCGGGCAAAGGGTGAGAGAGGAAGGGGGGGGGGGACGAGCAGACATTGAGGATGAGGGTGGGCTGGGTAATGATGAAGCTGAATAAGATGATGATGTTGATGATGATGATGGTGATGGTGAGGAGGGGAAGGGGGATGAGGATGAGGATGAAGACGAGAAGAGGATGATGATGCTTTTGATGATGATGTTGATGATGTTGACGATGATGCTGATGATGATGAGTCTGCTGATGATGATGATGCTGATGATGATGATGATGATGATGATGGGGACGATGCTGATGCTGATGATGGTGATTCTGATGATACTGTTGATGGTGGTGATTCTGATGATACTGTTGATGATGGTGGTGATGATCATGATGGTGATGGTGGCGGTGATGATGACGATGATTGATGATGGTGTTGCTGCTGAGGATGCTGAGATGATGATGCTGCTGATGCTGCTGCTAATGATGATGGTGGTGGTGGTGAGGAGGAGGAGGAGGAGGATGATCATAATAATGAGGATGGTGATGCTGATGCTGAAAATGATGATGATGCTGATGATGCTGCTGCTGATGATGATGGTGATGGGGATGATGGTGCAGCTGTTTCTGCTGGTGATGGTGGTGATGCTGATGCTGCTGCTGATGTTGCTGATGCTGCTGGTACTGATGTTGATACTGGTTATTATTATGATGATGATGATGAGGATGAGGATGAGGATGAGGATGAGGATGATGAGGATGAGGATGAGGATGAGGATGAGGATGAGGATGCTGCTGATGATGATGATGATGATGATGGCAATGATGATGGCAATGATGATGATGATGATGATGATGATGATGATGATGATGATGATGATGATGATGATGATGATGATGCTGATTCTGTTGAGGGATACGAGGAGGAATAGGAGGAGGAGGAAGAGGAGGAATCGGAGGAGGAGGAGGAGGAGGAGGCTACTGTGAACCTGGTGTCCCCCAACTGGCAAGCAGAGTGTGGTGGTCGACGGTAGTTGCCGTCTACGGATGACCTCGGGAATGCGCCTTTGGTGCCAGCAGGGGTGCCTCGTGCTGCTGGCCGTACCTGCCTCTCTGGGACGTGGCCGCCGACGCAACACAGATCCTGGCTGACGTCCCTGCCGTGGCAGCCGCGGCCCGGCCTGATCACTGTGGGGGAAGCGGGTCTTGTGGGAAACGGGCCCTGAGTTTTTCCACCATTTTTGAGGCTCTCGGGGCCCTCCACGGGCCCCGAGACTTGCAGAAAAACGAATCGGGATGAAGATCTCGTCCCGGGGGAGGCCCCAGGGCCCCCGGGTCCAGGACCCACTGCCTTCGGGACCCCTTGCCCACCTGCTGGCGCGGCGGCGCGGTCATCGCCGAGGCGGGGCCGACAAGCGCTGGCGCTGCCCCGCGGGCCGAGGCCCGCGGGGCATGGTGCCCGTCGCACTCGAGCTGGGCTTACGTCGGGCGTGTCCCTCTGCGGGAGGAGAATTCGAAACAGTTTAAACGATTAACCGGGCGAAGGACCCAACCATATGCAGCTGTGAGTACCGCAATCCTGAATCTCATCTTCGCCCGCGCTCCCTATGGGGCCACGAACCGTGTGAGGGGCTTGCCGACATGCGTGGCGGGGCACACAACGCGAGCGAAGACGATTGGTGTGTGTGTGCGAGAGACTGAGAGCGAGTGAGTCTGATTGTGGATGAGTCTGCGCGCACGTGAGTCTACCTGCATAAATTTCGACGCCCATGTCGGCGCGCTTCTCAAGAGGATCGCGCCCGCTTCCTTCCCGCTCTTTTTCTCCCGCTGCGCGGAGCAGAGAGAGCGAGCAGGCTGGCTCCCGCCCGGGATGCGCGGCCCGAAAGCGGCTTCAACACGTGGAATCAACGAAAAACCTCCGGATATCGAAATTCGCCGCCATGCAAACTCCGCCATTGGGCCGCCATGCGAGTTCCGCCACGGAGACCTTAGGTGGAGCTCCTTGTGGGGACACGAATCGCTGTATTGGGTGGTGGATGACGCATGCGGGCGGTCCCACTGGGGCCTTCGGTGGAGCCCCCTATGGGGCCACGAAGCGCTGTACTGGGTGTGACGCATGCGGGCGGTCCCATTGGGGATTCGGTGGAACCCTCTATGGGGCCACGAGACGCTGTACTGGGTGGTGGGTGACGCATGCGGGCGGTCCCACTGGAGCGCCGCCATGCGGACTGCGCCAGTGGGACCTTATGTCGAGCTCCTATAAAGCCACGCAACGTGTGAGGGGTGTGCAAAACCTTGGGGCGGCGCCGCAATGCGGGCTGCGCCACTGGGACCTATGTGGAGCTTCCTATGGTACCACGAAGCGTGTGAGGGTGCGCCCACATGGGCCGGCGCCGCCATGCGGACTGCGCCAACGGGACATTAAGTGGAGCTTCCTAAGGCTTAAGGTGCCACGAAACCCTATGGGGCCACGAAGCGTGTGAGGGGTGTGCCAACATGGGGCGGCGCCGCCATGCGGACTGCGCCACTGGGACCTTATGTGGAGCTCCCTATGGGGCCATGAAACGTGTGAGGGGTATGCCAAACCAGGGCGGCGCCGCCATGCGGACTGCGCCGCAGGGACCGAAGGTGGAGCTCCCTCAGGGGCCACGAAACGTGCGAGGGGTGTGCCAACATGTGACGGCGCCGCCATGCGGACTGCGCCACTGGGACCTTCGGTGGGGCGCCATATGGCTTATGGGGCCACGACACGTGTGAGGGGTGTGCCGAAATGGGGCGGCGCCGCCATGCGAGCTGCGCCACTGGGACCGTAGGTGGAGGTCCCTATGGGGCCACGAAACGTGTGAGGGGTGTGCCAAAATGGGGCGGGGATGCCATGCGGACCGCGCCACTGGGACCATAGGTGGAGTTCCCTATGGGGCCACGAAGCGTGTGAGGGGTGTGCCAACATGGGGCGGCGCCGCCATGCGGACTGCGCCACTGGGACCTTATGTGGAGCTCCCTATGGGGCCACGAAACGTGTGAGGGGTGTGCCAAACCAGGGCGGCGCCGCCATGCGGACTGCGCCACTGGGACCTTCGGTGGGGCGCCATATGGCTTATGGGGCCACGACACGTGTGAGGGGTGTGCCGAAATGGGGCGGCGCCGCCATGCGAGCTGCGCCACTGGGACCGTAGGTGGAGGTCCCTATGGGGCCGCGAAACGTGTGAGGGGTGTGCCAAAATGGGGCGGGGATGCCATGCGGACCGCGCCACTGGGACCATAGGTGGAGTTCCCTATGGGGCCACGAAGCGTGTGAGGGGTGTGCCAACATGGGGCGGCGCCGCCATGCGGACTGCGCCACTGGGACATTGGGTGGAGGTCCCTATGGGGCCACGAGACGTGTGAGGGGTGTGCCAAACTGGGGCGGGGATGCCATGCGGACTGCGCCACTGAGACCATAGGTGGAGCTCCCTATGCAGGCGGAAGAGGAGGAGGAGGAGGAGGAGGAGGAGGAGGAGGAGGAGGAGGAGGAGGAGGAGGAGGAGGAGGAGGAGGAGGAGGAGGAGAGGAGGAGGAGGAGGAGGAGGAGGAGGGGGAGGGGGAGGGGGAGGAGGGCGAGGGCGAGGGCGAGGGCGAGGGCGAGGGCGAGGGCGAGGGCGAGGGCGAGGGGGAGGAAGGAGAGGAGGAGAACGCGGGGCGCCGTTTCTTCAAAACGAGGACCCAACACCACAGGACGGTTGGGAAAAGCAGTCCGGGGATCATTTGTGTTGGATCGTTCCTGCGAATTTGGGAATATTTCGGGGCCACCTTTATTCTTCTCCCCAAATTCGCCTGTAGGAGGACACGCCCGACCTGACGCTGGGCGGCAATGCGCGGGCGGGCGGCCTCCCAGCGCCTCAGGGCTCGTTTCGATTCCTCCGATTCGATCCGATTCGATTTCGATGGTTTCCGATTCCGATTCGATTCGACTTTGGATTCCGATTTGGGCTCCGATTTCTCAACGAAGGCCTACT